CCCCAAAACCCCAAAACCCCAAAACCCCTCGGAGTTAACAAATAATTGAATCGAAAATGGTAAGTAGACATGTGGATAACCTCTAGAGTGAACCTGATTCAGCAAGCATCGATCTTACATTCTCTCACAAAAGAAGCACTTTTGGATCAAGGTTTGTTAGTTATTTTCTTTACTCTTAAAAACAAGTAGATAAAGTTTATCGTAAAAAGAGTGGTTCAGGTGAAGAATAATAGATTGTTGTATTTAAAGTCGATGTTATAAAATCTTGAAAAACTTCCTTTAAAATATCTTCTCCATTCCTTTAATCTCAATCTTTTCCTTGAGGCTTAAAAATTCAAAAATAAAATTTATCGTTATAAAAGAGAAAATGATTCAGTAAGAGTCCCATTGCAGTCCTCAAATTCTCAGAGTAGAGAGAAAATCTCATCCAATGATAATGAGCAGGGCGAGGCTAAAAGAATTAAAGACTGGAGGGCTGAAATGAAGTTTCCGGTTCCTGATTACATTGTAGGCTTTCATTTTGATAAATTTGTATAGAAGCAGCAAGATGAAGAAAATAAAATGACCAATTGGAAAAAGATCTCACATTTTATCCTTTTTGAAAAATAACTTCGAGACTACACTTGACTCTATTAGAGCTAAGAGAGGCCTCCAGCCGCTGAAAAGAGAATCAAAAGGGTCAAAGAAGACCTCTAAGACCCAAAAGAAGTTCGATACCTTCATGGATACGAAAAAGAAAACTGCTGAATTATTGAAGGATAAGAATCTTCCTGAAAATTTTATCGACAATATTCTAAACATTCTCAAAGTGTCAATCTTTAACTTCGTCGTTAAAGGGCTTAAAAAGATGGGTAAGAAAATAGTCCTGAAGAACAAGAGCAAGAAGAGAGCCAAGAGGGTCAATCTGGTATCCAAGTATACTAAAATGCAGGTAGTTTTATATCTTAAAATTTAGACAAGGATAAAACCCGTTTATAAAGGGAAGAAAATTCTTGCTTCTCCTAAGAACTTGAAACCAAAAATAAAGGAGATAAATAGCTCAGTCATCAAAGAAAGATTTGATGCTCTTAAAGGTACTTTTGGGGGAATGAACTATAGAGAAAATTATGGCTCGTCGACAGAGAAATTTTAATGAGTCACAATCAATGTTAAACAATGATAAATCCTCTCTGATAGCAACTACAAATTATCTAAACAACTCTTTCTATGACCAAAATAGTGATATGGACAAGAGTCTTCTAAGAACGGAGAATAAAATGTCCAGTTTCAGACCAAAGAGGTTATTGAGCAACCAGAAGCCAACACTGAACCAAAATTCTAGCGGAAATTTATGAAAATAACCAGCTTCCAATGTAGATATTCTCTGTAACCTCTTTAGGCAACCTAAGACATTCCATACAAGAAAGAAGGCCTTTATGTAGATTCTTGACTAACCTTTTTAGATAAAAGCTGAATTAAATCCTTTATTTCAGAAGAAGAGAAATGAAAGACCTCTTCTTACTAGTTTGAGATATGCTGACTCAAAGGAGCTCAAAAGCATGATCAAGGAGACCACTAAGAATAGAGAAAAGAAAATTTTCAAGAGCGCTTTTGACTTTGAACTGAGCATTAAGCATAATAATCCCTTTAAAAAGGCACCGCAGAAATATGGCTTCGCTAATTTTGCCAGTCAAAGGATCTCTTTAGGTAATCAATTTTCTGACGATTTTAGGTACTGATGATATTGTTAGGCTAAAATTTGACGGACCAAAAGTTAGCAAAGTTGGCTATAAGACAAGATACAAAGCTGCTAGCCAAAGAGTATCTCCAAATAGGCTTGCTACCGCCATTGCTGAGAGAAGGGAGCTATAATTTTGAATAAAATTTTCAATCCAGTAACTTTCCTACGGGGTTTTGGGGTTTTGGGGTTTTGGGGTTTTGGGG